CACAGCAACCCCCCGGCCAACGCTGCACCCCGATGGCCATCGGCAACGTGCTCCCACAGAGACGAGCCCGTGGGAATACTCACTGACTGTACATTTTCTCCCTGACGAGGGATCTGAGCCTCCGGCAGCCAAACGCGCGGTGGGAGCCCTGCGCCGGGTATTTATGGAGCCCGACGCCGCCCCCGCCTGCAAGCGCACCCCGGGAACAGAGCGAGCTTTCACCACCAAAATCCTCCCTGGGCTCTGAGAGGTTTTGTCTTGCCGTTCACACAAAAAAGGGCTTTGAAGGTTTTTCTGAGACCTAAATTCTTCCCAAGCAGAAGTGATTACAAAGGAAAAAACGCGGAGTGAAACGGAGCGTGCTGGAGTCGTGGCGGGCAGCGCACTGGGTGCTTGGCACAGCTGCTCGGCTCTTCACCCATGGGCACAACGCGGACCCGGTGCCTCCGAGGGACCTTCCTAGCTCCCGCAGGGACAGAGGGCAGCAAGGAACGGCTCCTGCAAAGCCACCTGGATCCCGTGTAAGAGAGAGCTCCTCCGCGCCCGCGGAGCCGGGGTCAGTGCTTCACCTAGAAACGACGTAAGGTCAGAAACGCTAAAGCAGGTGTCAGATATTATCATTCCTAGCTCCCCTACGCATCGGCCAGCAGCTTTTCCCCTCCACCCTGGGCTGCTGCGGAAGACTGCGCAAGCTCCGACACGTTGGTACGAGTACGGCAAGACCAAACCGCTACCGGAGGGAGCTTTGTCACCCACGTACTGCGGCAGCACGTTGCCACCTGCTCCCGGCCCTCGGTTCCCCTCTCCCCCCCCTCGCCGTCCCGCAGCGTGTTCCCTCTGGGGGCGTCTGCACGAGGCAAATTCCTGAAGTCCAACGTAGTATTTTTACACGGGGTGTTAACGGCCCCACACGCCCAGCGACCGGATCCCCGTTTGTTTTCTGCGCAGCACAGCCGTCGCTGTCAGAGCCGGCCCGCAGACTGCATTAACAGACCACCTGCAGTAAGAGCAGACGCCCGTGAGAGCAGCGGTGCTGGAAGGGCCGTTTCAGAGATTAACGGGATTAGAGACTCCTGCTCTCCCCGCACGGGCAGCCCGTGGTGCAGGATGAGGACATTCCGTAATGCCACGTACCTTCGGGCACATCTGTCTGTCCATCCCTGCTTCCCCTCCTCTCTCTACAGGACAGGCTTGTTTCCTGTTGGACTGAGGGTTCATCTAAGGCTTCTGGCCGAAACCCCAGATACTGAGTTGAGCCTTCGTGAGCTCTTTGAGGTGTCCCATTAACTCTTCAGAGTAAACAATCTTCATTCTACGGTAATTTGTCGGGGGAGCATCCTAGCAATAAATACGTTCAATATAATCTTCAAGGCCTCTTAGCAGCACAAATGACATGGAGGTTTTTAATTAATCCCAGACTAAGGATGCCAGTGTCCTCATCTTTGACATCCCGAAAAGTCAGTGTTTCCATGGTGACAGCAGCTTCCCAGGCCCCATCCTCCTCCAGCAGCTCAGGATCGAGATCCCGAACTGTCCCTGGCTCTGCAGTCTTTCCTTCTGCATCGCACCGAGCACGATCCAGCCCTCTGGGCTAGTAGCTGCCTTTAGGAAGAGGGTGGCCACCACCGCAGCCTCCATGGCTGCCCTCCCTTCTCCTGGGCAGCTTCCATCTCGCTGCCTTGGACTGGTAGGGGAGGATGAAAACGGGAGCGCGCTCCGCTGCTACCTTGTGCTGCGCAGCACGGAGGCGCTCGACTCAACGCCGCTATCCTACCTGCCCACGCGCAGTTACATCCGGAGCGCGCCCGCGAGCGTGGCTCAACGTGGAGATGAGCCATTAACACCTCACCCACGTAAACCCCGGCTGCTTCCTACCAGGGCCGTTCCTGGAATCGCCACGTGCCCGCGCGCACCGGACCGGGCAACTTTGGGCTTGACAGTCACACCAAGGCGAGCGCTAGACAGCACACAACTGACCAACGTGTTACACAACCGTTCTTCCTCGCAACTAATACGACTGAAAAGGAGTTGGTGGCACTAATCCGCAAAAAAAGGTGCTGTAAGCACAGACAGCACCATCACATCCCGCCTTTCTCCGCAGGAAAGGGAGGCAACCGATTAATCTACCGCCGGTTGCCAGCGGAGCGGGTGGCGCTGCAGATGGCAACGACCATGACCGCTCTAACACGTAACTTCAACTTAACTGCTCTTTTGTGTGTTTAAGCCAAGGAGAGGAGAGTTTCGGATCCGTGTGTGCAAAACAGCAAGTCGATACGGAAAGCCCAAGGAGCCTCCCGTGACAGCGCATCGGCATCGCAGGCTGCGAGCGGCTGCCCGTTTGCCCGAGACCGTATTTATCGGAGCTGGAAATGACATCCCTGCAGAACGTGGGTTTAAATAAATGTGGTCCATTTTAAGTTTATAAAAAAAGGTCTAAAGGGTTTACATAACCTTCATTTTTTGAATAACAGCATTAAAGAGCCACAGCATGTGTGTGTCAGCACAGTCTTTGAGGAGACTGAAAGCTGAGCGCTGTCCCCAGGCCCTTACCCACCCCACCGCCTCAGGGCGGAGAGAGGGAGCAAAGCCTAGAATCCTCACGAGCAGCTCCGTGCTGGACCTCTCGTGTCCATGCGGGACAACCACAGGACCTTACAGCACTCGTTTTCAGACCAGAATGGTGCCCCAGGGCACGGGCGCTTCTGCTCCAGCCCGTCGTAGGGTTTTTTTTATCGCAACCTCCCTGCCCTGAACCTCCCCCCAGACAGCGCCACAGGTTTTGCAATATGAAAAAAATATAAAGAGCTTCCGGTCCAAAGTGTCACTCGAGAAAACGATAGCTCAAAGATTTAGATTCAAATTAAACATGTATCTAATCTGCCAGTCATTTGATTCCTCTCACAGCGAGTTCATGTGGCTACTGATTCACATTTTTGTCAAGTTCTGTCAAAACCATAGAAAGGAACATTAAATAACCTGGATCAAGAAGTGTGAATAATGAGGGCAGCCCTTTGCAAGCTAAATCCCAAGAAACACGAGCTTCTCGCCTCCTAAGTTGCTTACCCGGCACTCACAAGTAAAGCATTTACGCAAGAGGTTGAGGCTCATCAGAAGCAAGTCCAGACGGGCACTGGATTTCTCAGAGCGGTGACTACGGGCGGTACAGGGGGTGACCATCTGCGACCGGCAGCGTGAAGTTACCCACAGGACATTCCAGCATCGCCAATGCTGGCTGAAACGGGGCTAAGTCCGGCTTCTCGCCTCTGCCCTCATACGGAAAAGAGCAAAATGATATGTTGTGGAACAGGTACCCTGCCAGAGACCCCAGGTGTCGGAAAGGCTTCCCCACCAAGCCCCACCCCGTAAAGGTGGGTACGCACGTTACCGTGTGCATCCGTGTACAATGAAGTATCGGATGCAGAATGGCAAAGTGGCTTTGCCTCATTTTTTCAGGGAGAATGACTTGGCGGAACTGAAATGCAGCCTTGTGGTTGCAGTTACATACCCAGAGATCAAATGGAAAAGTGACGATTCCCAACGAACACCCTCATTTCCAACATAAAGTGTCCGACCTGGCCTGTGAACTCATACAAGACCGTCATAGATCCTCCCCGTGAGGTGCCAAAAATGCTCCCAAACCAGGCAAGGAGAGAAGCTGAGATTTACTTCAGTTGTAGCGACTGGTATGACAGCTACTGAAAGTGCCTGTGGGTACAAGACAGTTCAGTTTCTTGCCCTACAATGGGCAAGACATGACAGCACGTCACGGATACGCTCAGAACCCAGCAAGGCACCAACCAAACGGTGCACGTGCCGGAGGGACACTCGCCTCTCGAACACTTGGGTCCATAAAGCACAAAACCGCTTAATAAAAACCCTTTAAAGTGAGAACAAAGCCAGACTCGCATTGACCTTCATATGCAGCCCGGTGCTTGCGGCACATCCCTTCCCTTTCCTGCAAAACCAGCTACAACTCTGTGCCCATCAGGAGCTTAAAGAAGCCTTTAACGAAAGAGCATGAACCGAATCCCTAAAGGTTCACCCACCACTTTGCTGTACCACACTACTTGTACACTGTGAAGGGGAATTTTTTTTTCCCCATTAAATCTTATATAAGATTCCCGGGAACGCCCAGGCTTTACCCCTACACACTCTCAGCATCTGCTTGGGACAGCATTCAGGCTCCCGTTTCGATGGATACAAACACTGGGAAGGGAAGGACGCGCTCCTCTCCAAGCCCAGCACTAGCACCACTCACCACCGGGGACTTCGGTTTGTTGGCTAGAGCGTACCTGTCCTCAGATGAAGCTGGAATCTCCGTTATGAAAACACTTACTTTCAACTGTTCTCTCTCAGATACACTCAGGGACATTTATGATCTTGTGGGGGAGCCTTGGCCCCAGCAGAATTAATAAGCAAGTCCCCAACTTTGGAGAAAAAAAAGGAAAAAGGGAAGTTCAGTGCATTCTGATTGTCACTTCATGTATTATCCATCACCTCTTATTTCGAGAAGCACACCAGGAGATCCAAACTCGGTGCCCATGATGATGTCAGAAACAAACCCCAGACTTTTAATATAAATAAACATACAAAAGCTTATGTGATTTTTACAAATGAGATGAACAGAAGTATTTTACGGAGTCAGAGAATTGATTGTAGTGAGTTTCTGGCTCCCCTGGAAACAACAGAACCAACTTTTAAATTAGTCCCAAACTCAGAGAACATTGTTTTGTTTAAAGACAAATATTTTGAGATTAGAAGGCACTTAATTCACCACATACAGACATTTGAAAACCTAGACAAGCTCTAATAAATGGCATAAATTCCTGAATAGACATTAAAAAGTTACAGCAATATGCATAGTCATTAGTTTCCCATATGAAAACCATATATAAGTTTTTGGTTACTTCATGCTTATTTTCACATTTTTTTTTACTGAGCACAATATATTGCAATAATTTGTAAACAGATAAATATTTATTTCTATCAACAGTCATTCAAAAGTTACCTGCACAAAAAAAAAAAAAGGTATTTTGGCACCTTTCAGCAGAGTGTCCATGTAAACATTTCTTCCTTCTACACCAGCATCAGATT